TTAAACAAACGGGAATGTCCTTGGTTTGAGACAAATTGCACTTACTTACTTTTCTGCGGCAGTTGAACCGCCTGTCGTTAGCATAAATGGGTATAAGTTATCGAAGAACACAGACAAATCAAGCTGGAATGCAAAAAACACTGATGCTTACACTGTCGCGGTGTTTCTCACGGCACTGCGAACAGATGTTGCAATGACAATGATGGCAAGTATCCACTTCTTTCGCTCCGACTGGTCTCCTGCAGGTGCTGCAACGCATAGAGAAGGGAGGATTTTCCCTGATTCTCCGTTCACCAATCGACATCTCCTCCACACAGTCGCCTTTGTTCTTCGCCTGCTGCTTCGGCATCTGATCCTGCTGCGGCTCCCGTTTCATCGAGATCAGAGTGAGCTTCGCTGCAATAGTATAGTTGGGACGCAGCTCAGCCAAGTCGAACGTCGCATGACAACGGATGCAGCGCGCTGTCATCGCTCTGGCGTGAGGCAGCAGGCAGGGTCTCAAGCAGAACGTATGCCCGCATGGTGGGCTGTAGGGATCACTCATCCTTCTCGGCACAATCGAAAACACAAACAAGGTTCACTGATTTGATGCACAGGAATATGCCCTAGCCCGTCGGGCATGGCACTGTGGCCTTAACATTGGGCATACACATACGTGAACCTAGTACTCAACAGTCTGCCTACTCTGATTCACCCGCACAACCATTGTTGTAAAGGACGCCCTTGTGCGAGGAAATCCATGAGGCGCTGCAGAGGTGGAGATGCACGAGCGACCAACCGCCGGTTTGGGAGTAGTCACATCTCCATTCTTCCAGCCATTCATACTTGGTTCAACTTCCACCAAACGGCACGATCCCCTACTTTCTGCTCTTTAATTTCAGACTCATAATAGCAGTAACGGTTGTTTTATAAGTCAATTGATAACTGACATGTGACTGTGCAAAACGCTACAGCTGAATCACCCAGTGACCCATCCAGGTGACTGTCAGTCACCTGGCGAATAAGCACGGCCCCATTTCACTGTACCCTACCCGTGCCATAATAAAAAGGCAATATTTGCGCAAATAACTCACAAATTTGTGCACACACCACAAATGAGATCCGTATCAGCCGAAGCCATCGCCTTACCGACCCGCCCCTGATCGATGACAGAGTGCGGCTCGTGCCGCAGTCCCAAACTGGCAGGCGCTTTTGCCATTTCTATTTGTCAATTTTCGTGGCGGTTTAACCAATCAGGACAAAACAATGTTTAGTTCAGCCAATAACAATGTTATTGGCGTTAGCCACACCTGAGACCCAACACACATGACCCAAACCAGCTCCCTTTAATTAAAAAAACCAGATATTAGGTGCTATCTTGCATTTATATTCTTTCGTTCATTTTAAAAGCCTGGGCTTACTTACAGTTTGCCACCTTTTTTAGTCGCTTTTCAAGGTCACTGGTGCATTTGTAATTGGCTGCTTTAATGCTGATTGTGCTTGAAAACTCGCTAGCAATGTTAGGGGAAGGACTGTAAGTTTTGGCAATAATTTCCCCATCACCGCTTTTGAGTACAGTTTTGGAAATATAATCTGTGAGTTTTGGTGTAATACGCTGGCTTTTTGTTCGTTTAACGGTAGATTTCTGTAAAGGGGTCACATTGGACCTCCACTATTATACGTTCGGCGGGTGGGCTGGCCTTCGGGCCATGCTGGTCGCCGAAATATCCTTTATATGTCAATTATATATACTCTGCGCAAGTACTGTGTCCTCGTTCGTCCTCAGGGAAGTCTCGAGTTGCTACATTGGTGTCAATGGAAAGCGAACCCGATTCTAAAGGGCATCAATCCTGATTTCTACTGCTGGGTGATAATCCTTATCGGGATGAAAGAAGTGCATATGCTCAAATAGAAGGTCTGAAACTGACGTCTACCCTTGGCAACTGCCCAGTGCCGTGTTCTGCAGGAAAGATATTAACAACTGAAGCGACACTGGCCGTGAACCATCTGGAAGTTTCGTTGCAGAGTTCCCCTACCGTATCTGCATAGAGTTGTCGATAAAGTGAACTCGCGGTACCTCTTTCACTTCTCTGCCAGTTGGGTAAAGCTCGGATAGATATGGCCGGACAGATTTGATGTGAGAACAACGTGGCGAGGAGAAACAGGCACGAAATCCTTTCCCCACGGATCTGTGTGGAATCCTGTCCTTCTTTCCATAAATCTGCTTTTAGGCCAGTGATTCTGTGTCTATCTAGTACAATCCCCTATTCCTGGATCCAGTTTCCAAACTGGACGAAACTCCAGCTGCATTTGAATTGCCAAGAGGGATCAGTGACTTTGCGATGCGTGTTTCCTTACAACATCGACTACTTTGTGATAGCTGACGCTGGGGGCTGACCAAGGGAAGCGCGGGGGACGATGTTCAAAAGAGGAGAGGAATTATGTGATACGTTGGTTGTTTAACTCGCGGTTTTGGTGAAGAGCTACTTTGTCTTGGCCACTGTACCCCGCCGGATGGTCTGGTCTCTGGGTCGTATTGGTAGCCCTAATACCTTCTGTATGTCGAATATATATATATGTATTACCCAAGTATTGCGTCTTCATTCGTCGTCAGGAAAGTCTTGGTACGCTATAATCACTATATTTTTTGTGGGGGGGATGTTCTGTATTTTTTTTCTGGACTCAATTTGCACAGCCTTAGGTGGGAGGAAAATATGAGCTGCACTTTTATATCCTTCTTAAAATGATGTGTAATAGATTGCTGTTTAATTTTTGAATTTATGCTGTTGATTTTGTTCATTAAACTGATGGCTTGCATTTACCCTTTCGGGTGGCTTAAGGGATCTTGTCAATGTGAATCAAGCCGAAACCCAATCACGTTTCCATTAGGCCACAGGCAAGTGCCTACCTATGCATCCACTATCCTATTGTTTTCTTATACAACAGATGGCCTAAATTACAACTGTAAAGCAACTGCTAGCGTAATTCCTAAGGGGCGCTGGATAGAGAATCTCACTTCCCCAATAATTTTTCTCTCAAAATGTTTCATGTGCCCACCCCGCCACTGCCTTTATTTCCTACGGTATCGTTTAGCTCAACGAATCGCTAAAACGTATGCCTGACACTGCATTCCCACTCCATCCTTTAACGACTTCTCTCTACTGAATGATGCCAAAGGCCGTGGTGGTGGTGGTGGTGGTGGTTATCCTTAGCCTGCAGTCGCCCTATTCTCTCAGTGTTTCAAACACCCAGTCAGAATGTTGAACACTTGATCATAGAAGCCTGAATAACACATAACCCTTCTTATTTCATTTAACGAAAACAACATCCGGTCTTTCAATACTTTTGAACGTATTTGTTTCAAGTGCTTAGCACGTTCAATACAGGGGTATCAGAGGCAAGATGACTACCCCAGCTTAGGTGTTTTGTGGCCGTAATATGATTCCAACATCTGCACTATCGAATTTAACAATTTTTATGCTTCTCAACGGCCTATAGAATTTAAGCAGTTTTTTTTCAGATTTAGGACAATGTTCATGCTTCAATGCTTTGACCTCGACTAATCTCTTTGCGCCACTATTTGGTGCATACAGTTGTTATTCAATGATGAAGAAAACATTTCGCATAATGATTGCCGCATCTGAGGCAGGAAAATAGGGAGGGGCGCGTTAACATGAGAATTTGGAGGCATCAGGAATGGGGAGATATATCTGACTGTTTATTCGTTGGTGGAATCTTCAGCAGTCCAAATAGTGAGATTGTCTCGTAGAAGTTGAAGAATAACGGTCACCTCGGATTGACACTCAACATCGGCATCATCAAGTGCTCTGAGAGCTTGTTCCAGTGCCTCTCTTGCCAGTAGACATGCTGCAGTACGGTCGCCGACGATTTCGAATAGGAAGACGGAGTGGTTGAGCGAGAGTCCGAGACGCACCGAATTTGCTGGTGTGAGAACATCCTTTGCCAGTTTTGAGGCCTCGGTGTACGCCTTCGCAGCCTGCATCTGATGCTCCATCTTCTCTCCGTCTACTTCTGCCTGATAGCGGTGATAATCTCCACGCCTATTAATCCACTCAAAGCGATAATAACTCGTCACTTCCACCCCACTACTTTTTTATCCCAGCCTTACAAGGTACTAGCAACTTACATCTTTAACAGGAAGACTCCATCCTCATCTCGAGTGACAGTTTGCTTCTCCAGAAGCTGGATGACCTCTTGACAATGGCTTAAAATTTCATCTTTTAACTGTGTCCGAACTCGACGTACTAGACCAGCTATTGTGAAGTTCCTTGCGTTGGATAAAATCTCCGGCGTGGCACGCCAGGCAGTGCGAAGTCGACCGGTGTTGTGTTTGTACGCGACGGAGAGACGATTTCGTTCATCCATCGATAATTGCTCCTTAGCCGCATCACGCAGCTGCACCACAGCCTTCACTTCTTTCACCATTTCTAAAGAAGAGAAAGAGACGTCTTCATCTACATCTCATAATTCTTGCCCAATCCCCATCCCCCCTGTGAGTTGTCAAATGGCAAGGGGTGCCTCTAGTTTGAATCCTAGGCTCGTCGAACCCGTTCGCACACGTTTCGGAGGGAACGGTGAATGATGGATGGGATAGAAGCATGTGAAGGTATGACTCACCGGAATAGAGCTCCAAAACCTCGTAAATGCGAGCGAGCTCGTTGTGTTCCGTCAGTGCGCTAGCCGAATCAGTCATCGAGCGAAAATAGAGGCTCTGGCACTGATACGAGCGCATAAATAAGTTGGTTGGGCCACGCACTTTCTCACTATCTGGTGAGGTCATACAGAGCGTGTTATGTATTCGATTGGCTGGTGTAGTATGCTGGCTGTAGGCCTATCATTTTATGGTGCTAATGGATGCTAGCACCCCTTTAGGTGTCTACAGGGCAAAGTTCATCTGTCCTTGCGGTGTTATGTGGGCGGTGAACTAATCATGCCGCGGCTAAAAGACCGTATTTTGTACAAAAGTGATGGGTTAGTTCAAGCAACATCGCGTTTTCTTAGGCTGAAAGGCGATGAGTTACCCTAAGGGCAGGCAGATTATAGCAAAACCGTTTTGATTCTTCGACAGTTGACTATACAAATTTGGGCTATAGGGATATCACAGTTTCCTTTTTAAAGTAAATCTGCAAGAAAAGAATCACTAATGTGCATTTTGGTGGCATTTTTTATATCTCTGGGATGGAGAAGTTGAATCCCATGCATGCAGTGGAGGTACGTAAAATACGACTAGGTAGCAACTAACGAGTAGAGAATTTAGACTCCACACTATGTGTTATAATGATTTTGTTGAGAGGAATATTTGTGGATACGTTAAAGCAATACATTTTTTTTCACCTATCCAACCGAGTATTTTTCAAACGAAATTACCATTTACGTAGCAGATGGACGGAAAGGTAAGAGTAGGGGAAAATTTGGAGGAGTCATAGCAACTATAAGGTGAAAAAAATATATTTGCTCTAGCACACCCTTTTTATTTTTGTCGGAATTGCATAAGAACTCCCACCTTAACATCACACATTTGCAACGCTAAGTAGTACTCAACAAACGCGGATGAGAAAAATGGCACTTTGTCTCATGGTTAAGTTGATGCACGTCAGGATTAGCAAAAAAAAATTGCAGCCTTGTTCGAATTGGCTTTGATTTTCGGTGTCAATTGGGAGCAAGCAAGTTCATGAGCAAGTAAACCTGCGCAAAATTTTCCGAAGCATATAAGAAGCTCAATAAACCAAAAAAACCCTTTTAAAGAATAATATGCCTTTTAAAATCTAGTTTTTAAATAAATTTTGTTAAAACTGCCCAAAATGTTGTTTATTTAGAGGAAAATGAAGTGATAAGGCCAAGGCTGCTTTAGTTGACCATTAGAAAACCGGCGTATTCGAAATGACTCTTAGCTAAAAGTTGGCCCAGTTAGCCTTTGTTATGCAGCCTCAGTTCGTACAGCACCGTGTTCGATTATGTCTATGTATCGATATTTGCTAGGTCTGACAAAACCGATATTAATAAGACCTTATCGACAACTTTATACTAGGTTTTCGGACATTAAAACCGTGAATACAATTCGACTGCATGTCAGACGGAACTTCCGGTCTTACGCCTCTTTCAGTTTATGTGCAGCAGGTGTTGCCGCTGCATTTTCGATCCCATCCCAAATCAAAGACGGTTTGACCTTTGAAGAATCATTGCAATCACTATCCGGCCTTGAGGCGGCAGTAAGGAAGCCAGATTTAAGTGTACCAGCGAATACATTCACCCTAAAAACCCTATGTTCTCTCATTCTTTCCGACCTAACATATTTGGTTTTTGCGGTTCTGGTAGGCGAAAAACAGCATATTTTTACTTTAAGGGTGCATTTGGTGCAGCTTATTACAATATTCGTATTCCTATACTGTTGGGCGATCTTATTAATGTCCTTGCCCAATTCGCACATCCCCACTCCATTCCAGCGTCTGCCCTCAGGTCACCTGCTCTTCGCCTCTGTGGAGTTTTTTCACTTCAGGTTGGCCCCTTTACCTGGATAAGTCGCCTATTCTCATTTCCGTCAACTGTCTGTGGCATTTCCACTCTGAACGATATACTTCCCCCATTGTAGTCACTATGCACATTTGCGTATATTGGCTTCCTGGCAACTGTAGGTGAGCGTATTGCTTGTCGTTTGCGGAATATGCTCTTTGAGCATGTAATATACCAGAAAGTGCGCTTTTTCGATGAAAGGACCTCTGGTTGGATTATTGAAAGGTTTGGATTTCCTCTTGTTTTTTCGTTTCTAATTTTAATCTTTTTGCTTTAATGGATTTACAATGGGAGCATAAACTTACACCGTTGTTTGCTAATTACCCTCCTGATCTAACGTCTCTTGTATTATTTGGGGAATAGTCTTATGCCCTGTGTCCTTTTCAAACCAGATACCAAATTTTTTGTGGACATTTATTTTTACCTTACTTTTAGAATAACAGCTGATGTACAAGACTTCAAGAGCTCTTTCAAATTTTGTATTTCTCAAGGTCTTCGTAGTGGAGCCCAGGTAACTCATCCTCCTCATTTGCATGGCGTAATTCCTGGCGCTTCTTTGGGAAAAAATGGATTTTGCGGTTAAACGGTCGTTCAGTAAACGTGAAATCAACCCGCTATAAAAAAAGTCACTTTTGGATTCTTCAGATCATTGGATCGGGTATTGCCATGTACATGATATCACCAACACTAACCGCCGCTCTAATGGGATGTCTTCCACTTGTATTCTTCGTTGGCGGCCTAATCGGTAACCAACTGCGTCGCATGAGTCATGTTGCTCATGACAAGGTTTGTCCCCTATGTACTATGCCAACGCTTCTAATTTCAATTATTTAAGTAATGTGTATTTTTCTACAGAGTAATGCAACCACCGAAATTTCAACGGAGGCCTTCACTCACATTCGCTCCGTCAAGTCACTGGCAATGGAAGATCAAATGGTGGAGTAAGCCTGATTCTCTATTATATACTAATCAGGACGATTACTTTACAGAATGTCTGATTCATTTTGTTTAGGCGGTATCGCCAGGGAACGAGCGAGGCATGTCGGTTACACGAAAACCTGGGCTATGGAATTGGGTGCTTTCAAGGCCTATCCAACTTCGCAGTGAACGGTAAGTGGGTAGAATCGAAGAAGCCAGCGTTTTTTCGGCCTTTTTGAGGGGTTTGCCTAAGGAAAATCCTACTTTTTTTCGGAAACGTAATACACCTTTTCTTTCCTGGTAAAGGATTGGTGCTGGGAGTGCTCTACTTGGGAGGCAACCTAATAAATCGAGGCGACATGGATGCTGGTCAACTCATGGCTTTTCTGGTGGCCGCACAAGCTGTCCATCGATCTCTCACCCAAATCTCCCTCCTCTTCGGCCAGGTTATCCGAGGCAGCTCGGCTGCTGCGCGCATCTCTGAGGTGAGTTGTTTGTGTGATTAAAGTGGAATTGGCCATTTCCATACTACAATAATTGAGCCAATTTGTTATCTTTGTAGAATATTAGGCATCGCTACGTTTTTCTCATAAGTCCTTGTTCATAAGCAAAACTCATTTATTGGAATGCACAGTGCGCAGGGCAATCATTCTTTAGTTCTGATTTCATTCACGTCTTTTATTTGGGTTATCAACTAATCCTTGGTATCCAGGGTGGTGGTAGATCTTCATATTTATTAAATGGTTTAAATTTGTTCTGCCTAGAGCCCACTTTTCACTTGTATTTCTGCTAAGTCCCCCAAAATTCGACCATTTACAGCAAGTGCCTTCTTTGAGGCACCAATGAATGTGACAGGGTATTCCTCGTAAGGACGAACAGCACTGTAGAAAAATACATTTATAGGAGTAGAGAATATTTGCGTAATTGAACCAAGCCATATTTTAGTGGATGCCCCAATTCCCCCACCTTACTATCAGCTTGGTGTTGTAGCTCCTCTCCTATCCCCCCACCAGTGAGGCGCTAGCCTACAAAAGTGGTCTTTGCAGGCTCCCTTCGGTAGCCACCACAGACTCCGCTCCTGTGATCCGCTTTGAAAATGTCACCTTCAGCTACCCCAATCGCCCCGAGGCTATGGTGTTTAATGATCTCAGCTTTGAAATTCCTGCTGGCAAAGTGGTTGCACTTGTGGGTGAATCCGGTGCAGGTTAGTTGGATTACTGCACACTCTGCTTTTCATTGTTCAATAATGCCAAAATTGGTGTAGTTTTCGTGTTCTCATGTCTATGACTCTGACATCTGTTTCTGTATTAACCGATCATGAAAGCTGTTTAATTGCTCAATTAGTTTGAAATGAAATGTAGAATGGAGACTTTAACCATCATAGACACGTAAAAGTACGTTACCATGGTAGTAGTTGGCCGACACGCAAATCGCGTTTGGACTATTCTAGTGCGGACATCTTCATCCAAGAAGACAATCAATGGTTGTAGCTTGTGCGTGCAATAGAACGCGATGAGTAAAGAAGGATAAACTCTCTCATCTACAGAGGAATTAAAGCTTATCTACAGTGAGACGGTGTCAACGTTTCAAAGACAGTTGGTCGTACGTATGTATGTCATTGACGATTTTCGCCGCACTAAAAATGGGCTCCTGCAGCGTTGACAGTCATTAAGTGTAATAAGCATTCGATCATATTATAGAACGCTTGATCTTGGAAGCCTGATGTAGGCACAGACGAAATCTTCCATGACAATTGCGAGCACAACACGACCATCTGCAAACATTTTCAATTTCGGAAAATTGACCCATGCCGGGTAGTGCTAAGGTGTAATTCTTTTGATAAGCACAATAAACTTGAATGTGACATGGAGCTGAATTAGCTTTTTTGACATCGGGGAGAAGGATTTTCTGAGTTCGAAATTAAAACGACTATCAGAGCAGTGAAGGCATGCGGGATCGACACTGATGGCGCAGCGAAGCTGGTTGACCTGGGATGATTTAGTTGTACTACATAGTTAGACATCGAAAAAAGTGGAGAAATACAGCAGCAGAGATGTACTTAGCAGTAAATAAGTATTTTTTTAAGTAAGCCCCAAAGTCTCGGTTTGGCTTGAATTAACTGAGTAAACACTCAATATCAGCATTCAGTAAGGCTGATATCCGTCTTGGTGAAACTTCTAAAGCCATGATAACTTCTGTACTGCATTTTACACCTTCTCTTCACGTATCATTGGTGTTGTAGGAAGCCCTAAGCCCCGCGTTGGTAGTCCATGTAATCTTTACTCTGGAGAGCTGGATCAACTGTGTGTGAATGAGTGGAATTGCACCAGGACACACAAGTAAATCTCTGAAGTCAGGCCTTAATAACTATCTCTACTTTGATCATAAGGAAGCTAGGGAGGTTCCTTCTCAGGTGATGGAATTCGCCATCGGAAAGAAGTTTGACGGTCTCGTCTGTACTCGATTCCATTCATAATCAACATAGGTAAATCGACGGTATTGGCTCTGCTGGAGCGCTTCTACGAGCCCCTTTCGGGTCGCATTACTCTCGATGGAGTGGACATTCGCGCCTTTAGTCTGATGGAGCTGCGCGGTCGCCTATTGGGCTACATCAGCCAGGAGCCCGAGATCTTCCATACCACTGTGCGGGATAACATCCTTTGTGCCCGTCCCACAGCCACGAAGGCCGAAATTTTAGCTGCGGCGTTGGTTGCACAGGTAGATGCCTTTGTACGAGATCATCTTCCCAAGGCCTATGACAGTATAGTGGGTGGTGGCTCCAGCTCCAGCTCTGCGGGTCTCAGTGGGGGCCAGCGACAGCGCCTGGTGATTGCGCGTGCAATTCTCAAGAATGCCCCTATTCTGCTGCTTGATGAGGCCACTTCAGCACTGGATGCAGAGTCAGAATTTCAGGTGCAGTCGGCACTGCAAAATGCCATGCAGGGTGAGGGTAGTTTTTTCTTTCGTGGACAGTTTTTGTTTGGTAGCTGTTTTCTAAGGTTGTTGTATTGTAAGCGTCTGATCCAGAATTCTACTAGCGTTGAATTTATTGGTCCTTGGTTTTATTTTCCCTTTTTCTTTCACTAAAAGGCAGGACCGTTTTAATAGTCGCGCATCGACTGAGCACAATCCGTTGCGCCGATGTCATCATTGTTATGCATAAGGGTCGTATTGTCGAGGTGAGCTCCTCCATTTCGAACCTTGGTGTTGTACACCTTAAAGTACGTCCTTTTTGCCTCCAATCTGTTAACTTATTTGGGGTGTGTTGGGTGAGAGGCACGACAGACTTGTATTTTTGCTCAACTTTCCTCGATTTAGTAGCAGTAACATTATTCTGGAACTTTTGACCTGTGAGAATTATTTGCATTTTTTTTTCTAATTTTTCAGCAAGGAACTCATGAGGAGCTGATCAAAAGAAGGGGCCGCTACTACAAGCTTCTGCAACGCCAAGGCAAGGATAATTAATGGAGTGCCTTCTCCTGATCTGTGATATACCTCTTTCCACAATTCCTATGTAGACCAATGGACTAATTGCCTGTACCTCCAGGGTGAATTAAGTAAAAATATTGAAGAAATGTGAGAAATACTGGAATATCCTGTTTTCTGGATCCACCGGCGCTTGAGTAACCCTCCGAAGCATCTTGAAGAGGGTTCGGTGGCATAGAAGCCGAGCAATGAAGTGTCTTGCGTAGTTAGGCTCTTGTTTTGGACGTTGATCTTGGTGACCGCAGTCGTGGTACTTCTACATTGACCATCCCAAATGTACTTCAGCTCCACTTCAACCAACTGTGAAATGGGAAGGATAAATCGCAATAGACGTTCTAGCAAGTGGAGGAAGTTTAAATTCAGCGTTAGGCTTGTATTTGGTAGCTTTTTAAAACCGCATTAAGGATTCACTTACTAAGTTTTGTCCCGCAATGAAGTGGGTCCTCAAGGGCTTTCTTTTCTATCGCGTTTCGGATGGTTAAAGGTACTGGTAACGCACATTGGAAAAAATGAAATAACTACTCAAAGTAATTAGTGAGGTCGTAATTTGAAGGCCTGTCATCACCCAAGTGACAAGAAGTTAAGTCGAGATTAAACAGAAAGACAGAGCAGTGGGAGGCTATGGCGGATGGTCTCTGCCGAAGCATTGTGATGGAGAGGTACTGCGTGGCCTTCATACGTAGAGGCCTTACAATCTTAACAAAGTGTGGCTAATCCATTAAACCTGTTGACGGAGCCTTGGCTTAGCATAGGACTTCTGAAAAGGACAAAAGTCCAACTGATGAGACTTTTGATTAGCTGATATCACCTTATTAGTTGACACATTCTCGAGTCAAGAGGGAGCTTATGAGATTTCTTTTTTAGTCATGTACTAGCCTTAAACTTTCCCATCTCAGAAGCGTTAAGGGGAGTACGATGGGCAGCTCGAAGTGCTTAAACGACGACACTTTGTAAATGACAAAGTCGTGAACTACTACCTAGACAAGATAATTGCCGTTAAAGTGTAAGTCGGATACACCCAAGGGGGAGGATCACTTGCGAAAATGCAAAATTAGCAGACTGAATGATGAGGGGACTGAGGCGGGCAGAGACTACGCAGACTTAACACCCCTCCCCTTCACCTCTTGACGGGGAGTCATGCAGACTTCCAACTGTTGAAAAGAAACTAGGAGGAATTTTGGGGGTCAAAATATCCTGACCTAGAGAAAGAAAAGGTAGATGTGGCCCAACTTGACCTTCAATCGACTACTCATTACCTAGAGCGAAAAATCGATTGGAATTCGCGTCCACCTGTGAGCACTTCTCAGACTCCCCAGGGGAAATGTCGTAGTTGAGTTTGGATCACCTGATTGCACATCCACTCATGCAATCTCAAATTAAGGAGGAAAAAATGTAAAAAAGGCTAAAATTACCTTCAAATTTAATCTCAGGCTTTTGAAAAATGGGGCACCAAGTCATGAAATAAGCTGCGGGGTTGTGAGTAGCCTGCATAAATGATTGAATCTTCTGCATCACTACCTCAACCTTGATGCAGGTCAAGTCTACAGAAAAAAAGAACTAAACATTTACTACTTCAGACACTGTTGTTGTTGAGCGGCCTTCTTTCGCAGCCATTTTCGTGCAAATTGTAGGCTAATCCAACAAGCAGGATCTTCAGGGCCTTGGACGCAACTACCACCTTTAAATCCTTGCTTGATTAAAAAAGGACACCACTAGTCACAACATAATACATATTTATTGTATCTATACTGAACCATAAGTTATTACGTTGCATCAGCCAAAGGCATGAAAAATTAGCCAACAAATATTAATGCATTTCCACGTGACTAAGCAATCCGGTAAATTCGGGTCGACTGGGAGCGAATTCCCGTAGAACCTCCAGGAGAGTCACGTGTTTCGCCTTTGGATGACGAAGACAGTATTCTTGGTAAAGTGCGTTCTCCGTTCTCATGAGATCCAACTCGTAGGGGGTCTCATTGTGAATGAAATCGCACCTCTTGCCATATCGGCAACTTCCAGTGAGCTGGTACGCTCTACAGTGCTCAGTTTTGTACCTCGGATGACGAGCAGTGAGATGGAGTTCTTTTAAGCCATGTGCGAATCGGCAACGCGCTCCGTACTCACAGGCGGAGTTTGGATTCATTAGATAACGTTTGCAAATCTCCGTCTTATAGAGGCTTCTTCCAGAACCAGAATGAATGCTCGACTCGAGAGACGTGTTACCTGAGTGGATAGGTGGAGAGAGGTGTACGGAATAATCGTCATCTTCCCTCGTCAGACTCTCCATACGACTAACCAACTGAAACTGGAGAAGTTTTTTGATTACTTCATTGGCTAATTGACTGCTGGTTACCACTGGAGTGGGCAGGGAGGAGGCTTTTGTGGGGAGAGATGGACGACGAGAGGTCTGTGGAAAAGGATTTGAGACCACCTGTGGCAGTGAAAGAGCCATCATAAAATTTACCGGGAGAAATCACCTTTCGAAAACTTTAATTGTGAATTTCGTTCATGCTGTCTCATTGGCCCACGTGCTGCAGACCCCATTGGCTGGACAGGAATGTCGAGGGTGCACAGGTGAATCGATCACCCCAACCTCACGACCACAGAATGTCGCAATCGATGGAGAAAATCAATATTCAGTTATTACCCAGTGGTAAAGCACTTCTTCATCAAAAATCTCGCCATTTTTACATTCACAATGCCGACTGCGATCTATGCTTGTTAATTACACAGCTTTTGGGTCCTTTTTAGAGCAAGCTGCTCTAAGCGGTGATTCGTGGATGCTGTAATCGAGGTCAAGTCCAAAAGACACTCCTGTTTGTGCATGCATCACATCAGGTGCCGTGTGTGTCTCAATCCACGCACATTTTTTTGCGTCAAATTGCGCAATACCATCTTCTTGAGCTTCTAGGCGTTAATCCTTATAGGAAGGGAGAAGCACACTGCCTGCTTCGGGTAGAGTGAGGTGCGCAACTAGGATTGTGGCTCATTTATCCTTCCCTAATGCAGCTCACAAACAGAACGAAACTTCGAACACAACAGAATTGTGAAGAAAGGCCAGGAACATTGGGATTAAATGCCTTTTACGGGCATGGGTATCGAAAGACAAGCATGACTGGCTTGAGGAGAGAGGTTTAAAGCACCGACTACTTCGTGAAGGCCAAGAGAAGCATTGTGGACGACGCCCGTAAGAAGAGAGGGGCCTCTGCAGTGACTTGATATTTTGTTTATTTGTGTGTCAAACTACAAGACCACTCTATTCTCCGCAAGTCGTGTCTTTCCTCTGTGGCATGGCTTTCGGACCACGGTGATGGTTTACTAACTCACTATACATTAGTAGGATATGTTCTCCATACAACTTTGGACTTACGAATTCAGGGAAGCCTCAAGACCTCACAGTAAGCAACTTTGAATTTCAGATAAGATAAAGTTGACGGAAAAGAGCAAATCATGTTAACACATGCATACAAAGCGAGTGTAAAGGCAAAATCTCCAAAAATCCTATATCGAACTTTGCGTGAATGAGATAAAGCGTCTGAAACTCCCTGATGTAAGCGATTAAGAAAATTTTATGATTCACTGAAACTTAATAGCTATTATGGGTTTGCAGTTTAAATTGCTCGAAGAGTATTATTGAAGCGTAGACAAAAGTAAATTGTTTCCGCCCATATAGGGAAGGAATCCTAAAAGGTTTTGAAAATTGAAATGCTTTAGGGGAAAATTGCAAACAAATTACGGTGGCAAATAATAGTAAATCAAAAATCTTTTCCAAAAGTGTTCAAAGGCAACAATAATAAGGGTGTTTAGTTAGGCACGAATAATCTTATAGGGCAGCCTGTTTCACAACATTGTGAACTAATCTGTAACACGCAAATGATTGGATAAGAATGCTAATTTAACCTTTGTGATCATTATACAACGTGACTTCCGACCTAACTAGCGGGAATCCTGTAAATATTGTAACACGTTAAACCTAATCATGGATATAGTCCAACACAATTCTTCGCACTACTCAGAGAACTTGAACTGTACGTCTTTTGTGGGTTTATTATCCTTAAGGGCTTTTACAACAACCCTGGTTGAAAGACAACAGGAAAAGCATTCTATTAGCTTTATTGTTTGGCAGCACTTCCATCGCTTTTAGCAGAATTGCCTATCCGCTTCTACGAAACGGTATTTATTCACTATGGGTTGGTGAGTCCTTTTCATCACTATGTCAGCTTATGGGCTCTTCTTACTTGCACTTGTTTCTCCCCCGTTGACAGCTCACAAGGGCGACTTGCCTATCGGCCTTCCAAACAACTCAAATTTATGCTACATCAACGCCCTACTTCAGGCAATGTCATCTAGCCGCATTCTCGTCAAATCTCTACGTCACAGCGCGGCCATTAAACGCGGTCGACTCTTATGTTCCCTTGTCGTCGTTCTAGAAGGTGATTGCTTCTTTATGAATCTATTGTATTCACGAAAACTATGATTTTTGCTTTTTAACTATGCTCGCACATTTTCAGGTCTTGGTTGTTCTTTCAATTATCTTAAACGCCACAATCTCATCGAGGTTATCCTTACTGCTCACAGAACATTGATTGACGAGCTATCTCTAACTGGAGGGTGGGCTGTTAATGATCAGCAAGTAAGTTTAGTCTGCTTTTGTTATTAACTCACAATTAGGGTCCTTTATGTTTTCTTAATGTCAGAATGTTTTATTTGAAATAAATTGAAGTTTATCAGGATCCCGACGAGTGGACTCCAGGGTACATATTTGGCCCTTCGTTGCACGTGGATTTAGCAATCTACCTCCTCTATTGCATCACTTTACGTAGTACGTTGAAAAGGTGTGTTTATGCATGCTGTGGGGCACTTAGTCTTTTGTTACCAGATTGCTTAAAACCACATCACTATCCTCATGTGTTTAAACACGCTTCGTCATCATGGCGACGTGAACATTCACGATAGAGTGGTGCCAGAGGCGCTGGAGGTATCAGTCGTTGTAACTTTTCGATCCCATCTTGATTTACAGAAGCTAGTCACTTACCATTTGGGGAGCTCTCTTTAAATAATGACGTGCGGCGTGTGGTAGATTAGCGTTCCCTCTAGACCTTATATGCGTGCTAATTAAGGAGGCAATGAATACCCACGGTAAAATTGTCCACAATCTGTTTGTCGTTAATTTCTTTTGCTTTGATAAATAAATCGCTCCTTTTTGTGAAATTGGGTCCCCTTGGCCGCATTGTGTTTTAGCAAGGTTACTAGTCAACTCCCCCCGTGTGTGCGTGTGCGTGGCGTGAGCGAAGCCTCAAGTCTTAGTTCCGTCTTAAATGCCACACACACAGGATAATTTCGTCTCTGTTAGTACTGACACGGTTGTGTTGGCCAGTATTGCAAAAACCTTGAGAGCAGATCCTTAATTAAAAGTTAGCCTCTAATTCTCTCTTCACAATAGACATCCCTCGCTTCTTTGTTGAAGCTGAGAGTGTGAACAATAGTTGGAATCTTCACACTCTTTCACATCCTTGTAGACTGGACTCTTGTTTTGCACTGTTGAGGAATCGCTGTGACTCGTCACAAGGTGTAATGTATAAGAATGTTTTTACAAAATATTTTTGAGGTCAAACAAGTGACTTCTGAGGCAGTTTATTTTTCATTTAGCACCCACGAAATGTACCTCTCTTTTGACTGGCCTATCATTGCTGCAAGTTGATGTTTACCTGGCGTCACATATATGTGACATGTGTGTGTAACAAAATTTCCTCCGAAATCTTTGTGGTGGCCTTCAGCACATCAACTCTGACCTATTGGCTTGATAAACATAAAATTGGTTGTTAGTTTCAACTGAACGAAATACGAAGAATGGTAAAAGCGGTGCTAGTGACGAAAGAATGGAGGTGGGCATCGTTGAACCTTTCAAATCAAAGTTTTCAATTCGAATCCCTTTCTGCTGTAGGACGTGCACGAGTTGTATGCCTTCTTTATGGACCGGGCAGAAGGTAGTGGCGCTGGAGAGACGACTCTGCGAGGTATCGAGGATCTGCTCACGGTCTCCCGTCTTCTTCCCTTCCCGCCAAACTCTGCCAATGGTAATACATTAGCTACTGCCGCTACTACCAATTCTACGAATGGAGTGCAGCACTTTGGCTTGAGTACCTATCTCTCTCCCGGTCTGCCCTCCTTTGGTTTGACCAATTTCGTACCAAGCTCCTTTCACCACTTCATCGCATCCCAAATTTTTTGTACCAAATGCTCCTACTGTGGTGAAGTGCGTCTTGTCCCCGAGTCTTGCGTCATTCTCTTTCCCGGTGAGTTAAATCCGAAATGTCTCTTTTCTTCACTTCAACTGAATGCTTTTAGTTTGGTTCTTTAATGGTAGAAAAGTCCCGACGAGTACACACTAAGAAAATGTCGTCCAAAGATAAGGCGGAGTACCGCTGCACCTTGGAGACTATGTTGAGCGATGAGTTTTGTGCAGCGGAGCGTCTCTCCGGAATCCATTGCCCTCAGTGTCATATGGAGGCGCTGCGAATACCCGAGGCGATGGTAAACGACCCATCACCGCCAGTGTCAGACCGCAGCTCCATTCGTCACTTCGCTGAGAGCCTTTGTCGCAACACTTGCTGTGCACGTCGGTGGATTGCTCTGCCTCCCGCCGCTACAGCAACAAAGTCACCTCTTGTCATCTACATTCAGCGTGCTGTGTGGGTACCACTAAAGCGAATCGCTCCCAGTGCAGATGAATATGTAACCAGTTTTACCGCTGGAGGCATGATGTCTAAATACACCGAACACGTTACCTTCCCTGCCAACCTTGATCTCGCACCTTACCTCGCGTCTGGATGCACATTCACTGCTCTAGTTCGTCGCCATAATGTCAAATGTAGTGGTGAAGAAAATAAGAAAAAGTACGTATAGGTCTTTATCTTTAAAAATATCTAATTAAACCATCGTCTTAGTAGATCCCTCCGATATGTGTTGCGCTCTGTAATTGTGCACCATGGCAACACTCTGTACACGGGTCACTACGTGGCCTACCGGTGCTGGATCGGTGGCGGTGTTGAAAGTGCCAGTGCGAACGAATGGATCCTCGGCTCCGATAGATACGTCGATCGGGTTCCCTTTTCCAGTGTTCAGGATTGTCAGGTACGAAAGTGGTTTGAGGCTAGAGAGGGATTGAAGCGTAAGATAACACTTCTCATCTTTCATCCCCGCAACAGGCCTATATGCTTTTCTATGAGCCGTTGGAGGGGGACATTCCTGATGCAACGCACTCCCTCACATCCACTGAATCGAAAATTGATGGGGAAGTAATGAACGAGGGGGAAGAGGAGGACGGAATTCCAGAAGAGGGAACCAATCTAGAGGAAGTTGCATCGCCAGCGCGGAGGATTCGCGCGCTTATGGCGATGGTGTGCGGTGAAGGAGAAATCGTCTAATCTCAGTGTCTTTCAACATCCCCTATTTTTCCCCCAAGCATTCTGTTTCCCTTCTTTTCCCTTTCCGTCCCCATTATTTATTGAGCATAAAAGTATTTACCTTTTTTTTGCTGCTCACTTCATAGGTCATCGGGAATTTCACATGCTCCAAAATGTACTTGCTTGAATAAATTTCTTGCTCAATGATTATATCGCGCTTAATGATGCATCAAGTGGCATCAAGAGAATGCTCGAGATCTGACAGATGCACTAAGTAATATGGCTGCAAATATGTGGACCTTGATGTACAAAGGTTTGTATCGACAAGGCACCAAAAACTGGTGGTATAACAATTTGATTTACATTTATAATAGGATGGGGGGAAAGACACGTATACGCTTCCATAAGCCGTGCATTCTACATATGCTGCCGCTCCTATATCCATCGTAAGTTTCTTTCCTTCAGAATGCGCAGTTGTACTCACTGGAATTTGTGCGAGCATCAACTGGGCAGCTGACTAGGGAGAACTGGCGTGGTTGGACAAAATTCTCTGATGGTTGGAACCCACTATAAATCGCAAAGGAGTGCTCATTACAGAGTGAGTAAAGGGAATGCAAAAGGTGGGCATGTGAGGTAACGATGTGAAACAAGACTCTAGGAAGTCAAGCAAAGAATGCCCTATAATAATGACAAAGATTAATGATAAGCAAAATAGTGTAGACCATGAGCTTTCTTAAGGGCTCATCAATATCACTTGCTCTGATGTCAATTAAATTCTCTTCATCAATAGGCACTTAATTGTACTACGCAAATGTGGTCGTCATGATATTACAGTGTGTTGGTTTCAAATTGGGAATGGAAGGCTTCAAAAATACCCAGATTTCGAAAGAACCCATATTATTGGGATAGAATGTGAGCTATCGACGTACAGATAGGATGAAGAGCTACCAGCATGGCCCGGATGTTATGCCGCTGGGAGGAAGCACAACAGTCGCGCCCTTCGGTGTCCGCGTACCCAAGACAAAAATTAGACAATCAAGGCGTCACGCAACAATAAATATGTATATCTATTCTTCACATCTTTTAACACTTGATTGAAAAACCACTGGCATATGTGAATAAGGCAAAATAAACGATTCGTTGTTGTATAAGTGCTACAAGTGCTAAAAAGAGAGAAAAACTTGGCAGAGTTAATAAAACACCTATCTCTGTATATTTAAAAGTAAAAGTTATATAAATATGGGGTAAATAAGTGGTGCATGCGAATTTTCCCTTACATACGCATTCATTGCTGTTGCCTTATTCCGCACAAAGAAATGCATGAAACCGCCATAAATGCTAAATAACTCGAAAAATTCTATCGCTTTTTAGACAGCAAATCTTGCCAATGGCTGGAAACCATGAGCTGACACACAGATGAGCATAGTGTGCCTACAATCCATTACTTCACCCTAAAATCTCAAGTTGCCAATGGAGCTTTCAATCCCACTGCATTCAAGGTTGACATTGAGAGTCGAATTTAAAGGGTCGGGATGATTTCGTGGGAACTTCTGACGCCTCACGAACTCCACTCAGACACTGCAATTGACCTAGATAAGAACGCATTCGCTTATTCGACATGACTACCGGAGACGAGGTCTACCGTAAGGGCAGCACCTCATCCCTACCGACGGCATCCCACATCGGTTCCGGCTGCCTATGGCGTCTTATGTGGTTGACCCACACATGAAATTGCTGATCGAGACCCAACCCGTTTTTGGGACCAATAAGGGACAAATCTTCAATTAAAACGGTAAAAAGTGCCCGCTGGGTGTTCTAGGATGATACATCCCAAGCTAACGTCCTGAGGTAGGTGCATGGGTCTTGTATAAACTCAAGCCCCAAACAGACATTTAGGCGATTAAATCCGAATCTATCTACCTTTCAACAATCCATCTAACTACACGTCAACTTCCACTCACCAATCCTCCATACTTCCATCCACCCAATCCTCAGAATGTGCCAAAATTACATCAAAAGATTAAACCATTTACTCCATAAAAACAGAGTTCTGCTCAGCATTTTGTAGTCTTCCCATCTGTAACCGACTCTTCATGTGTCATCCCATCGCCTGTGCGAATTTCGGTAGTGCAGCCAGTTAGCATACAATGTGAAGAAGCTATATGATCAGCCGATACGACCCACCTTCTCAAAAGCCTCCGAAGTAGCGGTATGATGGAAGACCAAACTCAAATCCAGACCTTCGCCAATCTCATCCTTGCGTCTGCGACGTGGTAGGGAACCTTAAGTTAGCAAAGAAGGCCTCTCGGCATTGGTATCCTGCAGAAGGAAGAAAAGAGGGAATTGATAACAAGCAAAAATAAAGTACAGATACAAGTCTAGTTTCATTTTGTCAACATCCGAACTGAAATCAGACTAGCCATCCATATTTTCACGCGCCACCAATACCGATGATGAGCAACAGCACACCACGTTCCTACTCAAAGTTTACTAAGAGTTCAGGAAATAGACATCTTTGAGGCAATGGAGGTTATAAATAGTAGACTCAAGCTTGAATTGTTGCTGCAGGCCTTCTATGCGGTTCAAAGCGATCGTTATGTGGTAAATACCACCCACGTATATAGAGTTGCAAGTTGATGCAACATTGTAGCAAATTGACTACACGAGAAAAAGTAAAGTAAAAATTGGGAGGAACGAAGGCAGACAAATTGGTCCATTATTCTTTGGACGAATATTCCCAAGCTCCTAGGCGTTTGCCTAGATGCACCAATGAGACCAACAACGACGTCTCCTCACGAATAAGTGTTGACATAATATTACAGCAATTGCCCGTAATACGCAGACTTTCTATTTCCTCCTCATTCCCCAAGTCCTCCAGAAGCCAAGCGCCTCTCTTCTCAAATAAGTTCAAGTAACTAGAACCGCTGATTAGAGCAGAATCCCTTAAAGCAATTGGCCAATCTGTTGTCAGATTCGACTCCCGGCAAAGGCGAGTCATATACATACACCCCAGAGCACTGGGAACTGATAATATTTGGCTATCCTCCACGCTCAAAGCTGACAAATTCGTCAGGTGCAATACACGATTGTCCAACTTCTAAGGCCCTGTAGTCCTTACACACAGACCCTCAAGGCAAAGCCGACTCATTTGATAAAAAAAAGCTTGGCAACAGAAGTTTATAGCGAAATTGTGAGAACACACCGCACAATGCGCACTTGTTGACGAATTTGATTTGTTGATGTAGTAAACAGAAACAAAAATTTATTGCTATAAGAACCTTTTTAGGGAAAAAAATTAAACGAAATTATAAAAAGCAAAAGCTTCTAGTTTGCCTAAAAATGCGTAATTTGTGTAATATAATAAAACAAATGTATTAAGTTTCGCGTTTTTGATTGCGCAACAAAAAACTGTTCTGCGTTATGCATCCTGAGTATTTACTTCAATTGCCAAGTTCAACATTTTGCAACAGTTTTTTTCAAAAAAGTATGTTTGGTATAGCAATTGTGCTGTTTTAAGTATGTGACGATTTAAAATGAGTGAAATGAATGCTATTGATAATCCGCTTTCCAATCTTACATAGCTTCATTAGAAATACCATTTCCGTAAATGTGTTTTTTCGTTTGCATTCAGCAGAAGAATGGGAGATGCTAGTTGAAGGAGAAACATCATTAAAAGATCGGGAGGAAGGGTACAATATTTGGGTTGGGTAAGAACCGCAATAAAGACTGGACACAGAAAGCGACGACCCTCTCATTAGGCCCGAATTTCTCAGGTTGCCTCTTCCCTAAAAGGTGCATTAAAACAACATAGGGGTTGCAATCTTTGTTGGTGTGCTCATACGCACCGTTATTATTTCAGTGTTTGTTGGCGAGATCCTTCTTTGTGTGCAAGTAAGACTTAAATTTTGGCTGCAGGTGAGCCGTATAAGTTTTCTCAATGATATTCTCTCTTAGGATTCTTTACATATTTTGTAAACATCATTCTAAACCAAAAAACCCTTTTAATGGGTTTCTGATGTACGCATAAGAGACTTGCAAAGCCATTTTTGATGAGAATGTCTATTTGCTTTGCTAGTTAGCAGTCGTGAGGAATGCTCCTCAGCCTACCGATTTCTGACCACTCAACTAACACGAGCGAGTGGCCACTTTCTGTTTTTTACAAATAAATGTGATAAGAGCATCTAATAGAAGTGATGTGAGATCACACAATGTTTCGGTCTGAAAGCAATTATGATACGAGTCAGCTTTCTAGCGGTTCCCATTTGAGATCACGCTGGTTTGCAGATGCCCTTTACTTTCTCCCAGCTTGTAGACTCCAAAAGGGGCAAATTCCGACAGGCTCATTTCCCTTCTTTCCTCCTGGTAGATACATCTGCCGAATCAACTACCATGCTTAATACGATACTAGAATCGACGTGGCTTTGCCTGGTTTCCCCGCCTTAATGATTTGGAAAACAGATGAGCGTCAAAATGGGTGACATTTTTGGTGATTTAAGTAAATATTACTGTGATCGTGAGGTAGCAATGATGGGTGTCTTACTAAAGACGTCATTGATGCCCCGAACATTGAATACTTAAAGTTGCGAAGATGCAAACAGCGGAGGAATTGACGGCCCTAATAGTTGTAAGCAGTCTTTTCACAAAGATCTTTTAAAGGTTAGAAAATATGTATATTGCATGCATTACCGTTTCGTATGGAGTAACGGACGGTTGATAGAACCATCGGATATCACTGCATTATATTTACTGCTTCAACTCCACAAAACAAGACTTAAAATGGAGATGTAGACGAGAAATTCAAAAACCTATAATTCAAAAATTGTTTATGGCTTTTAACTTAGTCACAATCAATAATTGAATTTTATTCGTTCGGTTTTGTTTAGATGAGCAGTTATCTGAACTTAACTTCCCCAACCTGAGTTTTGAAATGGCGTGCGTCCCCGGCATACGGTGTCTGCCCAGGGTAGCGTGTCAGTTTTACTTTACGTTTGTGTTTTTCGCGTTTGTTTATTTTAATTTGATACCGTTTATTCTCTGCATTACACTTACGTACGTTTACGTCAATGTGGTTGGGTGAAATGTGTTCTCTTAGGAAATCCATTAGCTTTGTTTGCCTTCTTAAATGCCTTACTACTAAGTAAAGTCTAGCGAGGTGCACGATTGTCCCTCCATTTGATTGATGTATTTGCAATTTGCTAGATGTGGACCCGTACCAGTGTCGTAGATGTGGAAAGTGTTTTTCCCAGCGTTCGTATCTAACACGACATAGGGAGATTTTTCATCAAAGTAAGTTTTCATCGTACTTCCTTGCAATGAACAAACAAAACGTCTCATACTCTTGCACATTCCATGCGTGTGTGACAAGAAGGTGGATCCATATTATCTCATATAGATGATTTTTTAGCATGTAGCTGTAGCATAGTGACAAACTGATACTGCTCTTTGGTGACAAATCATGTGTTAAGGTCTTGTGGTTTACGATGTCTATGTTACATAATGCAAAGGCACACCAACCTGTGCGAATTTGCTGTGGTGCCGCAGGCTTTTGGTTATGTGGATCTAGAATTTATAAATGGTTTGCTTGCGATTCACTTTACACAAAATGAGTGAATGCGGCAAAATATTACTTAGAAAGAAGGTTCTCAATAGGCACAAACAATTGAAGTACGTGCTCAAGGAATGCCTTAGCTTGAATAAATTAACATAACCCTGGGGTCGCTTAATGAGTAAAATGGGGAGGTCAAGCCTGTATCATGGCGATGTTCCAAGCTAGAAGGGGATTAGTCCATTTCACCCTACCGTGCCTCATCAGCTATTGTACTCCCACGTCTGGGGCATTTTGGCCTCTTTTAACAGGAGTGATTCCGTTGGACATGTTTTAGCCGTTCATAGATGTATGTCGAAATTTCGTATTTGTTGTAAATGCTTTTGCCACTTTTTAAAAGGGGAGCTTTTCAAATGCCAACTTTGCGAACAGGCATTTCTGCGGAGCAGCACTTTGAAACGCCACATTTTGAAGGTTCACGAGAGTGAGTCACGTAATTGCGAAATATGATGGCGACGATTTGTGTATCCTTATTAAGTAAGATTTGGTTTTGGTAATTTTTTAGATGGAGGTTGTTTAGGTACAAGGGAAGCAAAAAAACATTTTCGGGTCGTAGCTCTTTAAACCGCCACTTTTTGCAAGTCCAAATCATCAATTTAAATAATTCCTGAATGAAATTTATTACCATTACCACTTTAATATTTAATAGCCTATTTTGAATCTTAGAAGACTTTTTTGAGGAAATTTAGTTTGTTTCTAACATTTCTAGCGAAGAGACAGTTCGTTTGCCCACACTGCAGTAAAACTTTCTCGCAACAAAGCAATTTAAACCAACACATTTCTGGGGTTCATGAGGGTGAGTTAAGTCATTTTCAAATGCTTATCTTAGTCAAGTTTTAAATGTGTACTTTACTTCGCATTCCTTTTAGGAAGGAGGCCATTTACTTGCCCGATTTGCGGAAGATCCTTCTCCCGGCGAAGCTGTTCAAAGAAACACATTGCTATGGTTCATGAAAGTGAGTTAAGCGATTTTCAAATACTTATCTAATATTAATACCTCGATATCGATATGCATTTCGTTTTTATTATTTCCACTACTTTTAGGGAGGAGGCCGTTTACTTGCCAGATTTGCGGCAAATCCTTTTCTCGGCAAAGCTATTTAAGCGAGCACACTTCCGTGCTTCATGGGAGTGAATTGAGTAATTTTTAAACAGCAGTCTTGATCAACTTTTAAATACGCATTTCCTTGTATTTAAGCGCATTTTACCTTTATTACTTCTCTATATCTTTTAGGAAGGAGGCGATTCAATTGCCAGCAGTGCAACAAGTCTTTCTCGTTTCAGAACAACTTAAGCAGACACATTTCTGTGGTCCATGAGAGTGGGTTAAACGATCTCTGTATAATATTTTTACATCACCTTTAAAATGTTTATTTTCTAATGCTGAAATGCATTTTTGTTACATTGCTTTTACGATACTTTTAGAGAGGAAATCGTTTACCTGCCGGCATTGCAATAGACCCTTTTCCAATCAAAGCAATTTAACCGTACACGTTTTTGAGGTTCATGAGGGTGTGTTGAGCAGTTCTCAAAGATTAATTTTAACATTAGAATGCTTATTTTCTAAAGCTAAATGCATTTTACATTTAGAGAGGAAGCCATTTACCTGCCGGCATTGCAATAAATTCTTCTCCCGTCTAGGCAGTTTAAACAGACACATTTCTGTGATTCATGAGAGTGGGTTATTTTCAAATAATAATCATAATCAACTTTTAAACACGTATTTTCTGGTACTTGAATACATTTCATTTTCATCACTTTTACAATACTTTTGGATAGAAAGCAATCCCACTTGCCAGCATTGTAATAAGTCTTTTTCTCAACAGTATACTTTAAACATACTCATTTCTGGGTTGCTCATGCAAGTTCATTAACTGATTCCTAAACGATATTTTCGATTTTCTGGTGTGTATGCTGTTTCAAGCGTATTTTGACTTTTCTCTTCTACTTTTTTCTAAATAGGCGACTGTTTATTTGCCAGCATTGCGGTTACTCTTTCGTGCACACTACCGCGCTTCATGGTAGTTTGTTAAATAAATCCAAGATGACACTTTAACTATTTCGCAAACTAATTGCCCAATGTCGAACAAAATTGGTTTTTTCTTTTGTCAGATCCGCAGGTCGTCAAATGACCTTCTGGTCTACTGCTTTTTTGCCATTTTCCAAGCAATAAGAACGTTTCGGTGCCAACAGTAGAAAAAACAATCAGCCTCACTAGGTGTCCGTTGGTATAGCCGCGTTTTGGTGGTTAATAAGTCTGAACCGCAAATATATCCCCTTGATTTCTTGTATTTACCTAATAAGAACATTTCATTAAGTCTTGTTCGGCATTAATATTTTAAACTTTCCTTTGTTGCTACTGCCACCACTTTAGTAGAATCACTGTCAACTTTTGGTTGTTTTTAACGAATTTTGTTGCCTAGTGCATTCTCTGCCGCGGATTTCACAGCCAAGATATCATTCTTGACATTTGCAGAAAACACGCTGTCACTATAGTGACGCCTCTTGATGCATGAAGCGAAACAGATGACTTCATTTACTTTATGCATGAATGTGACTATTCATTTATTTACTACTTAGCTTACTCCATTTTTATTTTAGAACGAAAATAGTAACAATACGAAATTTAGTCTTTGCTGCAGGAATGGGATTTGTCAGCTCATAATTCAATCAAGCGAACTACCAACATGTGTGCATTCTGTATCAATAGCACAATATCACGAAGACCTTACCTCTTCCGATGGAAATGTTTATCCTTTTGGCTTATTCCATGCAAAATGTCCTCATTTATGCATTTTTAACATTGGCTCGGGTCCAACTCATGCTGCATAATCTTTTGAAACTATTTACTTCAATAAATCATCATACTGTAATGGATTCAGCGCTTATGGCCTCGTCTTTGACCTTCACTCCCGTGGAATGGGTAGCCAGAATAGGTAGGTGCATTCAGTATTGGTAATATTATGAATAGGGTACACTAAATCGGGGAACACACGTTCAGCGTACGCTCCTCTCTTGGGGGTGGATCACGCCCGTGTTGTACAGTCCCTCGTCTTTTAGAGCAGTCTGATGCCTCCTCGTAGGCGGTCTACGCATATACCATTTGCAATGGTCATCTCTCTTTAGTACGTGAACACTTCATCTTTGTGCTCGACGGCGGATGGTAAATCTTTGAGTGTGTGCATTATGTTACGTTGTCGGTGTTTTTGTTGAAAGTTTGCCTTATCCCTAAGACAATGTGGGTTAATACTTTCATTTTGCAACTTGTGAGTATTTAAACTGGAATGTTGGACTGTAGCTCGTGCGGTGCGCAAGGGGGCGCCGTCCAAGGCTTAAATTCCAGACTCGGTTGTGCATTCCCTAGTGAAAGCCTCCAATAGTCCACGCTGAGTGCGAATCGCGTTTCTCACCTGTCCGTTACCTTGCCGATTTTGGGTATTGTAAGTGTCCCAAAAATGTCGAAGGTCTTACATAGTTCAGCAAGGAGTCGGCTTCCGAGACAAGTGCTTGCGTCGCTACGCACCGAACCGGGGAGTGCGCGCTGACAAATCCAAGGCCTGAGTAAAGCTAAAGTAGTGGTGTCAGGGTCTTCTGCCTTGATGGCTTCTACTTCAGTGTGAGGGAAGGCATTGTGACATGATGTAACGTGACGTGACGGAGTGGATTACGAGGAGGGTATCGCCCTCTTCACCAGTTCCTCTCATGTGTGTGTACGCGCGCACATTGCATGCGACCCGCCGTAAAATGTGACACCTCATGCTGTGTCTTGGTTAAAGCGAATAAAGGGCCATCCTCGAGGTGGTGCCCGGCCCGAGAACGGGATTGAGCAGGCTCACATCACCCGACACAGATGGAAAAGTGAACTTATTTTTTTTTTTTTGATAATGAAATAGGGACTGCTGCTGAAATTAGACTGCAAAGAGCAACCATTACACATAACCTTAGTTCGGCGATCCGATAAGCGAGACTACACTTGTACAAATGTCTCCTGTAACCAGTGAATTAGCGTTTTCATTTTGACGATTTCGTTTGATGGCAGATTGTCAGGCCACCGTCATGGAGGACAATTTAAAACACTGAAAATGCCCACTTTATATGTAAACTCATTGTAAATAAGCAATCGTATTCAGAATATTGTATCCAGAGGGACTGATTTTAGTGCTACTGTAGTAGTTAAGTAAAGTTTGTCTCTTCCACCAAATGTGTCAGTACAGCTTCACTCATCTAATAGGCATTCTATCCCAGGCATCTGCTCGTTATGAATTTAGCAAAATTTTCATCAGAGGGTATATGAAAACGGGACCTGGTTAAAGGTTGCATCACATCATATTGTAATACGATAGTGGTTTATCCCTCGGTGTTGGTGAGAGGCGCCACTTTGTACTTGGAATTATCCTTCCTGCTTCTCGCTGGGTGGGCTGGCCTTTGGGCCATGCCAATAGCCCGGATACCTTCTCTGCGTCGAATATATATTCTGCCCGAGTATTGTGTATTCTTTTATCTTCAGGGAAGTCTCGTAGACGTTGCATTGGTGGCAGCAGAAAGCGAACCCGATCGTAAAGGACATGTGTGGAGCGAGACTCCTCGGTCTCCGCTTCCCGATTCCTAGCGTTCCTAGACAAGCCCGGTTGGTTTGCTTTGGACATCTTTATC